AAGAATCATAAGGAACGAAGTTCACTTTATTGAAAGAAGTAAATTCACCTTATCTGTTTTCGGTCGTCCTGGCCGTTCAGCCGGAAAGACAAGTGATCATTGGTTGTCTGAAAAAGAAATGCAATCTGATCATGTTCATGTGTTGATTAATTTCCATGAAGTCAAACCATATCTTGAGTAAGTATATATATATATATATATATATATATATATATATATATATATATATATATATATATATATATATATATATATATATATATATATATATATATATATATATATATATATATATATATATATATATTAAATTACGTATATATTTATTACCTTTGAAATATTTATTCTCTAACCTATTATTACTTTTGAAATAGGGAATTTAGTACCAACTATTTCCAAAGCATAGGGTTACACTCATGCCAATTTTCCTGAATGGTTCAAACAACAGCTATCACTCATTGTTGCACCAAGTCCTGAAGTAATCCATTTGAAGAGTTTGTCTGAAGGCCCTCATCAAGGTGCAAATCAATGGCATACATACTTTGTAAATGGATATAAATTCCACACTAAATCATGGACAGAAGGGAAGAAAACAATAAATAGTGATGTAGTTGTAAAAGGAATTACAGAAGATGGTGAGGACGACTTCTATGGTGTTATCACACATATTTATGAGTTGGTATATAATTATATGGACTCAGAAAATAGAGTTATCTTGTTTTATTGTGACTGGTATGATCCATCTTCTAGAGGAACAAAAATAAACAAAAAATACAACATTGTTATGGTTCGAATGGACAAGAAGTACAAAGAGTATGACCCTTTCATAATGGCACATAATGTTAGGCAAGTTTATTATGCACCTTATCCTTCCATTCAACCACGAAAGCAATGATGGTGTGTTGCAATCAAGTTTAACCCAATAAATCATATTGAAACTGCAGATGTAATAGAGGATGTTTCATTCCAAGATGATGATATTTCACCTGTCAATGGGGACATTGAAATTGAGGAGATTGCAACCTTGTGTGATACTACAGTTGAGGGTCAACAAGTTGACACCACTATTTTATTGACGCCTGTGAAAGAGGAGCATGAAGAGTCAGGAGAGTCTGAAGACTATAATAACATATCTGATGAAGATAGTGAAAATGAGCATGAATGATGATTAATTTGTGTAATATTAATTTGTTTAATATAATTTGTGTAATATTATTTTATTCATGTCTAACAACTCTTGGGTAATAATATTATTCTTGCCTGAATTATTATATATTATTCTTGTAAGTTTGATGTATCAATTATTTTATGTTCATCTTTCAAAACAGAAAAAAATGCCACTCCGACATGAAGATAAGGGTAAGACTCCAGTAGATAAGCCTCGCCGCAATCGATCGAGGTATATTATAGAAGAGGTTCCTGACACAGCTAACCTTATTTTTATGCCACAATCGAGTCAACAGCCACATCGTCCTCTTATGAATCCCACTCCACCATTAATACATCCTACTCTACCACATATGCATCCCACTCCACCATCTATGTGTCCCACTCCACCATCGATGCCTCCTACTCTACCACATATGCATCCCACTCCACCATCTATGCGTCCCACACCACCATATATGCATCCTTCTCCTTCTACATTCACAGACCTACTATCCACACCTTATTCTACATTTCCTTACATTTCCCCCTCAGATTTTCTTAGTCCTCCTGGACATACATCTTATATGCCCCAGGATGGACCTAGCACCTCCATACCTACTACAGATCCAACATTTATGCAGTATAGGGATCCAGGTGGTGGATCTATCATGCCACATTCATCACCCATGCATTCTCCACATGAGGAGCATGGTGATGATGATGATCATGCAGAGTAGGTTGTTCAGGACGAGGCGGACCAGAAGCATAGGAATGCACGCATTTTGAGAAATATGCCGCAAGTGATTAAGAAGAGGAATGGACGATTTGTCATTCATCCAGAGGGATCATCGTAAGTGTTTATGCTTAAATTATAAATTTTAGTTGTTCGTTTATAATTAATACTAACTCATATTTTGGTTGTTTATATTTTACCCATCACATCAGGCAACAGCTTGCATAACTGAGATCATTAAAGAAAAGTATAACAAATTTCGGCCTACGTATGGTGTAGTTGATGGCGATGAGAGGGAGGCTTGGTTTAGGTTATTTTAGGTATAATCAACTTTGTTTAATCTTTTTGATCTTTTTTACCTTTATTAAAGTAATTCACTCAATCACGATTATAACTTTATTTCATATTTTTTGAAGGAGAAATATTGTTGGGACCCTAGAGATGATATCCAAATAAGAGATAATTTTAACATTAAATGTGCTAAACGATTTTCTGACACGATGAGGCGTGTTAGAATTACTTGGGAAAATAAACGCCTGCGTCCCCGTTGGATAAGTCCAGATGTATTTGAGCAGCTTATTGCCCATTGGAATTCTGATTCCTTTAAGAGTACATCTGAAAAGGCCAAGAAAAATAGAGCCTCTGAAGTTGGCGGCTGCAACTACGCCTATGGTAGTATTAGTATTGATGATGTTGCACAGAGAATGGTAAATTTAATTATTTTGCAATTAACTTAACAATTTTAGATTATGTTATAACTATTTTTTTATGTCATCTACTTAGCGTGATGAGTTGGGCAGAACTCCGCTTCTTAATGAGCTCCATAAGGAGACTCATCTCAAGAAAAATGGGGAGTTTATTGATGAGCGCTAAAGAAAAACTCAAGTAAGTTTTCCTTAAACTTAGTCATTTTATTTATTTCTTTTGTGTCTAGCATAATTTAAATTGCAATAACACCTACTCTTTTTAATATGAGGAGTATGAAAAACAACTTGCCCTAAGATTATCACAACATCCTGAATATACACCACCTCCGTCGGGATTTCCCACTGATCCTAGTTTGAGTTTTCAGACTTGGTATGATGTATCTCGTGGGAAGAGAAAAAATGGGAGAGTGTATGATGCTGGAGGTCTCGCCAAAACAATCTGGCGACGTGATAGGAGTTTCAGAATGCAAATTGCTGATGGTGAAGGATCATTGACTCAACCTTCACTTACCCCAGACATGATGAAAACTGTGAGATCATTAGCACACTCTGAGGCTACCCGTGAACTGGAAGCGAGAAATACTGAAATAGAAGAATTGAAGAAGAGACAAAGAGAAATGGAGGAAGAAATGAAAAGAAAAACTAGAGAATATGAGGAATCTATACATATTTTTCAACAGTTTATGCAACAATTATACGGGCGTGATAATCAAGGGCAAAATGATAATGAAGACAGTAACACCGATGAAGAAAATTAATCTTTATCAATAACACTTTTTATTTATAATTATAAACAATGTTCTTGTAATATTTTAATTTTAATTCAGTATTTTATTAATATAATATTAATTATAAATTATATTATATAATATATTTAAAAATATATTACTAATATTATTAATATTGAATTTTTTATTTTATTAAATTATAATTATGAAATTCATTGATTATAAATACAATAATAATAAATAAATTAAATAATTACGTTTATAATTTAAAAAATAAATTATGGTTTTTAGCTTGGGGGTAAACCCCCTAGCTAATGTCACATGTACTATGCACCTTTCTGCACGCTTCCTTCCTGCACACTCCCTGCGTTTACTGAACACCTGCGCCAAAAGTAGCATGGTATTTAGCTAGGGGTAAAGCCCCTAGCCAATGGCCAATCAAATTTTGCCTTTAGCGAGGGGTTTAGCCCCAAGCTAATTGGCTAGGTGCTTAGCCCCTCACCCCTTGTTTGCGACCAGTGATTTAGCTAGGGGACATAACCCCTTGCAAATGTTGATTTTGTGAGGTGTTTTGTATCTTAGTGAGGAGTTAAACCCCTAGCTAAAGGGCTTTTTTCTTGTAGTGAGAGTAACTCCTGTCAATTCCACACAAGCATGTTTCCCTCCTACCCACCCGTACACCAAAACATCTGTTGGCCTAAATGTTGATCTCCCCTTAAGTGGGTTAGTCAAAAAATTCACCGACGCCTCTTTCTCCATAGATACTCCGACACGCCGAAATATATCATATAAGACATCCCTAATAAGATCATGTCGATATTTGAAATCTAGAAACTCTCTACAATAAATCGCGTATTTCCCAAATATATCTAAATATGCCTTAAGACAGATGAAACAAATCTCATCAATAGAAAATAAAGAGAATATAAAATAATATCTATTGATAGTACGATAAATTAAAAGTAAACTTCAAACAAAAAAAAATGTTAACCATTCTTTTCAACCAAAAAAAATGCCAACCATTCTAAAATTAAAATATAATAATAAATAAGGATGTCGTCCTATCATCCTTGCGTAAGATGATCGGTCTACTTTTTATTTTATTTTATACTGTATTTTTTAAATCAACTTCAACATAATTAAACATTTAATTTATTTGGGAGTGTTATTATAATATATATATATATATATATATATATATATATATATATATATATATATATATATATATATATATATATATATATATATATATATATATATATATATATATATATATATATATATATATATATATATATATATATATATATATATATATATTATATGAATTAATTGTTATATTAGTATGTCCTTGTGTATATATATACAATAGTGTAACAAATTTTACATAGTGTGTATATCAAAGTAAAATAAAATATCATTTCACATCTAAAAAGTAAACTTTGTATTATAAAAAAGGACCAAAGGAAGTATTCTATAATATTACTATGATTAAAACATGCATGGAACAAACTCAAATTATATTAATTGAGACCATAATTGTCCTATCTTTAAAAATCATTTCTTTAATAGCATAAATACTTATGAAGGTTCATGTGAAGCTCTCTAGGGTCTCATATAAAAAGCATAGTAGCAGTTATTAGCCATTATCAAAGGTGGAGAAACAATTTAGAGAAAAAAATGGGCAACAACAGCAGCATAGCAAAGAGATGGAAACAACTCAGCGGTGAAGACCAATGGAATGGACTATTAGACCCTCTTGACATCGACCTACGGCGTTACATAATCCACTATGGTGAAATGGCAGAAGCAACATATGATTCTTTCAACTCAGAAAAAGCATCAAAGTTTGCTGGTACTTGTAGGTATGCAAAAAAAGATTTCTTCCAAAAAGTTTATCTGGAAAATGGAAATCCATTTAAATATTCTGTGACAAAGTATATTTATGCAACTTCCCAAATAGCTCTTCCTGAAGCTTTCATTGTGAAGTCTTCTTGGGAGGATGCTTGGTGTAAAGAATCAAATTGGATTGGGTATGTTGCTGTGGCTACTGATGAAGGGAAAAAGGCTTTGGGGAGAAGGGATATTGTTGTTGCTTGGAGAGGAACTATTCAGACATTGGAATGGATTGAGGATCTTGAGTTTTGGTTGGTTTCTGCTCCTAAAGTGTTTGGTCATGACAACGTTGTTGATCCTAAAGTACATCAAGGTTGGTACTCCATTTATACTTCTGAAAATCAAGAATCTCCATTCAATAAGACAAGTGCCCGAGAACAGGTAAAACCTAGCTATTCATGTTATTATTTTTATTTTATTTTTGAAAACATGGTATCCGACTCTAAGACAACTAATTCAAGAGGACTAATACCACCGTACATTAGCGAGGCCATTTAAATCCAGAGCAAAGCTCTATACGAACTGTCCCATTACAACGATTATTAGCATCTGGCAGAATTCGAACCTGAGACTTTGATAAAGCATACTTTGATGATTATAGATTTGTGCAGGTTTTAACTGAGGTGAAAAGGTTGGTGGAAACATACAAGCATGAAGAAACAAGCATAACAATAACTGGACACAGTTTAGGTGCTGCACTTGCAACTCTAAATGCAGTAGACATTGTTAAAAATGGTTACAACAAACCAAGTGACCCATCTGTCAAGGCATCACCAGTTGCAGCCATAATATTAGCAAGTCCAAGAGTTGGTGACGAAAATTTTAAAACTGTTTTTTCTAGTTTTAAAGATCTCTCACTATTACGCATTGCAAATGAGTTAGATATTGTACCAAAGTATCCTTTAGTTTCCTATTCAGATGTTGGGGAAGAGTTGAAAATTGACACTACAAAATCCATGTATTTAAAGAAGTCATGTAATCCGTCCAGTAAGCATAATTTGGAGATTTATTTGCATGGAGTAGCAGGGACACAAGGGAGTAATGGAGGATTCGATCCTGAGGGTAATCGTGATATTTCACTTGCGAATAAAACGATGGATGCTTTGAAAGATGAATATCATGTACCTGCGTCATGGAGGGTTGTAGAGAATAAGGGTATGGTTCAACAATTGGATGGTTCTTGGAAGCTTGTGGATCATGAGGATGACACTCAGTTTTAATCAATTCTGCATAGTTTTCGTTTTGGTTTCATCGTTGACTTTGGAAGTCTTTGTTTCTGCTTTTCTTTTACTTGTTTGTGTCTTTTCTGTGTATTGGTTTTGTTTAGCTTGTTGGGTATCTATGATTCCCTGTATTGATTTCTCTTGTTTTGACTTTTTCTTTTTAGTCTATTTTGTATCCCTAGATTGGTTTTCATATATTAAATAAAGTTTTTACATTGAGAAATAAAAATAAATAATAAATAGGATGAGGTCATGTGCATAATCCATTAAAACTAATAAGAATGGTAATTAGTTAAATTAAAACAATGTCTAAACTAATTATCTCCGACATATTGCGGTAAAGAAGTCTATCATGTGTTATGATTTATAAAACATTTCCGTCGGTCAATCTATACGCATAGGTATTTCCTCCGCGAAAGATATGAGAGGCTTTTAATCTTCATGAACGAATAGTGTGCACATATTATTTCTTCAATCAATCGATGATTTTCAAAAATAATTTTTCATTGTAGAATGCTTTAAGGATAGGGATAACTTTGATTTGACCATAAAAGAAACACTGGACGATCAGGCGAGTGTGACTTGGCAAGTCATGGGCCGCTCGATTTGACCTACCACGCCTATTGGGCAGGCCTCTCGAACCGATTTAGTATCCATTAGGAGATAATCAAAAAGTTACGCGTCAAGCCACATGTTGCTCAAAGGGTTGGTGTTTTTTACTATTGACGCGGAGAAGTGGTCTTCCTAGTCCTACTTGTGGGGAGAACCATTCTTCCTATCCCTACTCTATAGTCAAGCAATAAGGATGGTACCAGTTCCTCACCCAACAATTTGACCCACAAGTTAGATCTATAAATATCCCAACCTTTAAGGTTGGGATGGTCATTAACTATTTTCACCTATTTAACACATATAAAGCCTTTTGCGTCTATACACGTGAGCATGTTCCCCTCATTGTATTTTACACAAGTACAATTGGCATCCACCATAGGGCCTCTATAAAACTGTCTTAGGTCATACCCTTATACTTACTACTCAATCGCCTTAGTCATCACTCTCATTATGGTGACATGATGAGGCATCACAACAACTAGTAATACCAGCAACGATGAAAATGAGGCCTTAGCAACGATGCAAGCTGCTAAGGAGGAGTTGCATCATCAATACTAAGATGGCTATAATCGACACCATTAATACTAAGATGGCTATGATCGGCGCCTCTGACTCCTTAAATGCAAGATTTTGTCCAACACTTTCAAGGAGGTGGTTCATGAACCTTCCCCATTTTTGGCAACTTGTTATCAAGACCTCTAGAGGTACTGGTCCATTAGTTTTCATTTAGTAAGCATCAGGAGGTTTCAACCATCTGTCTATTTAATATTAACAAGGAGCACTCTGAGTCCTTAAGAAAATATCTTTCCCAACTTAATAAGGTGACTATAAAGGTAATACATCTAAACTACGAGAAACTCATGGTAGTAGTCCAGAATTATTTGAAGGCTAGAAACTTCAACGAGTCTTCCGCCCAGAAGTTTGCCACTTTCTTGGAAGATATCATGTCGTAGGTTGAGTGTTACATAAAAAGGGGAGAGCAGTGTAAAAAAGAAGGCTAGAAATGTCAAAGAACCTGCCGCCGACAAGTACGATTCTTCACATAAGTCATGACACCTTGCCTATTAGGGATGGCCCGCAAATAACTTCATGCCCATCAACACTTATTGAGAAGAGATTTTTGGTAAAGTCATTGACACTCATGACATCCATCCTCCGTTGACTCTCAAGTCGGACACAATTGGGCCCAAGTCTAATAGGTGGTGAAAATACCACAAGACAAAAGTTCACCATACTAAGGACTACCACCATCTCAGGAGGGGAACTGGGCAGCTTATTCAAGAAGGTCACTTGAAAAAGTATGTTAGAGGGAGATCTTAGTAAGCATGAGGCATGTCTAGAGCATGGGGGCATAATTAACCTAACATCTACAAGTCTAGAAAAGACAAAGTCATAAAGAAGAGAGAGGCATAAGCTAGTACCTCATATACTTAATACCATCATGGGAGGGTTCAATGGGAAGAGAATGTAGCTTCTTATATAGAAAATATGTTTACCAAGTCACAACAATGGAAGATTTTCCCACCCATCCAAAGTCATACCCAAAGGATGATCTAAACCATAAGATCACGTTATCTTGCAAAAATGATGTTGTGGTCCTCCCTCGTGAAAACTAACTTATGGTAATAAAGGTGGAGTGTGATGACTTGGAGATCAAATGAGTGTTGGTAGGTCTAGGAAGTTCTATAGCATCTCAATCGGGACGTCTTTGAATGACTAAAATTAGATTCTGGCGACCTTTAATCATTCAGAGGTTCCTTGGTTGGTTTCTATTCCAAATAAGTTCAATAGAAAGGCTTTATTACTTTTAAAATGGTGTTCAAATTGAAGGAGAATGAAAATTGATAAATGTTATGTATCTGATTATAGATTCCCCATATTTTTATAACATAACCATCGAACAATATGCTTTTAATATCCTAGGGGTAGCCCTATCAATTTTTTACTTGCGCATGAAGTATCCACTATAGAATGAGCATATTGGTGTGATCCATGGTGATCAAGAAATTGCTCTTCAATGTTACCAAGATAGTTTGAGGATCAGAAGAGTGGCGACGGCAGTAGTCATTGCACCACAACCACACATACACAAGGGTGAAATTTATGGATTTAGATTCCATAAATAACTTGAAAGAGCTAGGCTTATGCCTATGGAGTACTTAAAAGAGATTCTTATTTGGGCCCCAGGAACTTAACCCCACCAAGTTAGGCAACTCCATGAAAGAAGCCGAAGAGGAGGAGTTAGTCTCCCAGCTCTGGAAGAACATTGACTTATTCTAATGGAGGCCTTCTGAAATGCTAGGAATTAACACTAAAGTTGTATGTCATCGCCTTGCCATCAATTCCAAAATGAAGCCCGTAGCATAGAGAAATCCTAAAGTAGGCAAGGAGAAGTGAGATCCCATCGACAAAGAAGTTGGGAGATTTATAGAAGTTGGTTTCAAAACTAAAATCAAATATACAACTTGGTTGGTAAATGTAGTGTTTGTTCGAAAGTCATCTCTAAAATGGAGAATTTGCATAGTTTTCACCAATTTAAGCTTAGTGTGCCCTAAAGACCCTTACTAGTTGCTATACATTAACAGGTTGATCAAAGGTTCATCAGATTACAAGACTATTAGCTTCGTGTACGCCTATTCCTACTAGAATAAGATCAAAGTGGACCCCTATTTGTGCCCAAGACTACATTTATGTGGAATAATTGTTACTATTATTATAGAATCATGCCTTTCAGATTAAAAAATTTAGGTTCCACCCATTTAAAGTTGATAGACATCGTGTTTTTCTAATCAGATAGGATGCAACCTAGAGGTCTTCAAAAATGACATGGTTGTGAAGACCTCTGAAGTAGTTAAATAGTGTGGAGATCTAGAGGATATTCTAAAGTCAGTCAGAGAATATAACATGTTCCTAAACCCTTCCAAATGTTTGTTTGGGGTTCATGTGGGTATGTTCTTAGGTTTCATGTTAGTAAGAAGGGGAATAAAAACGAACCCTTATAAATATTAGGACATCATTGACATGGGGAGTCTCACCACATGCAAGGAAGTCCAACAGCTGACAGGATGCATGACCACCCTCTTTCAATTTTGTTCATGTGCTAAGGATAAGGATTTCCACTTCCTTTCCACCTTGAGTAAGAAGGAAAAAATTTAATGTATAAAAGTGTTAGTGTCATACCCCAAATTTGCCCTCCCTTTATTTCTATGGTCAAAAATATTTTAAACATTGGTTATATAATATTCTTTGATCTTTATAAATATTCGCTTCCAAACCTATTTAAAAATTTAATGATTTATTTCAGATCATTTGTACTTTTGAATAAATAAATATTTGCTCGACCTTCGTATGCTTTCAAAAGCATTTTTATTTTGAATAAACAAGGTAGCACAATTGGTAAAGAACAAAACTAGCAAGTTTGAGATTGTGGGTTCAAATCTCTTCTGTCTAACTTTCAACATTTTCTTTTTTCTATTTTTTTGTTACTAATTTTCTTTCCTTTTTTAGAGACCAGGCTTTGGGCTTTACATTCATTTTAGATAACTTACTTGCTATGTTTTTTTAACCTAATTCAACTCTATAAATAGGAATCTTATTTGTCCTAAGTTTTCATCCAGAAATCCACAATTTTATAATCATCCACAACTCACTAGAGTTCTCCTAAAGTTATTGTTCTTCACATCGAATAACAACAACAAATAAGCTCTAAGCCTTCAGAATTCGGTATTCATCCAGGCAATCACATTGGATAAAGGAAAGAAAAAACACGAAGAATAAAGGGAGGAAGCAGCTTAAGTGGGTCACTACATTCTAGGTTGGTAAAACTGAACCTTTAATTGTATGATTGAATATTTACATATGTTTAAATTTTTGTCTAATTATGTTGGTTCGTTGATCTAATATTTATTGTGGGATTTATTATAATAGGTTTAAATATTTTTTATATTATTATATAATTATCTATTAAACTTTGTTATAATTAATAATTAATATTTTGTATAATATTTTAAGCTTTTTTTTCCAAAAATTAATTTTTAGAGATTATTTCAAACCCTTTTTCTAGTTTGTTTCATTAAGGAAAATTCAAAAGAATTAATCTTCTCCTAACTCTATCCACACCCCCACAATTTACTACGCTAACTGAATTCATACCCCCACCTACATTTTGGGCCCAGTTCAATATCTAAACTAGGGTCCTACTACTTATACCCCCTATTTTGCTAGCCCAACACAATATACACCCCTCTGCGTTTTTTAATTTAATTCCTTTTATTATTTATAATTATTATCTTTTATATTTTATATTTTAATATATTTATTATTATTATTATAAAATCAAATGTATTTTCTAAACTCATCCAAATATTTACTTATTTATTGCATTA